CCCGGCTGCACGAAAGCCTGCGGATAGACATAGTGGGCAGGTATCCTGTTGAGAAACGGAAAACAGAGTCAGGCAGGAGTCGCCTCCTGTCTGGAGCGTGGCTCGTTCAGAGATAAGACAGACTCAAATTTAGTGGTTATTATGAGCATAGGGTTGCCACAATATCTCCTTGCCAGCGATCTGTGCAAGTCCTCTGGCGGTAGCCCAAACCATGGAGTGCCCCGGAAGGAGTTCAACAATGAAAATGGGATGCCCTCCCTGCCAGAATTTGTTATTTAGGATCTTTTTAGAACCAATAAATATCATCGAGCAGAAGTTTGGAAAGATAAATCAAAGTTCATGAGGGCCTCGCACACAAGAGATATTTAATAAATGCTTAATTGACGAAGACTTCAACAAATTTTGTAATCAGTTCGTCCACCAAAAATGGTTTAGCAAATAGAAGAATTCTTCGCAGTGAATATAGGACTCAGAAGGGAAGCCGTGATCGTTTAATTCCGTAAGGGTGTTGGCCAGTTTCTGAAAACTAAATTTCAAGAAAATCCCTGTTTATTATCATGGCAACCCTACTTGAAATTGCTATGCAGACTCAGCACACATTAATCTCTCTGCAACCTCAGTCACCCTTATTAAAAATAATAATAAAAAAGAAGCAGGCGACAAAATAAAAAAAGGAGTTTAAAAGTTCACAAGTGTGGTAAACACAGCAGAATCACACTTCTCAAACGAACTGTAGTGCAGCTCACTCTATCACAAGAGGCTGTTGTGGGAAGCTACAGAAATGCTATTAACATTCATGGCAGTGATTCCCAAAGAGATGTGCAGCACGCTTGTCTTTCTTTCTTTCTTTCTCTCCATTAAATTCATAAGGACACAAGGGTCAATCAAACCTGTTTGACTATCAGGCAACCGAAGGTCAGCCAGCTTGTTTATCTCTATGCAAGACAGACAGAAGGGGTTTTGGGGAAATGATGAGGTTGAGGAAAAGGCAGGGATAGGGAAACACAACTAAATGTTTCTAAAATTAGTATCAACTCAAAAGGATTACATAATAATAAGGTTAAGGAAACATTTTTTGTGTGTATCTACTAAACTCTTGTTTTATCCTCTAACTCAACAGAAATAGATTTATTGAGCGTATCTGTTTTAAATCTTCCCTACTGGTAGATGTTTTATACAAATCAATTCTATTACTAGGTATTCTCCTACAAAAGTTCTAGAAAGTGAAACAAAATCGAGGACCTTTCAAAATTATACATTCAGAGGTCACATACAAGACACACTCCAATGACCTTACTTATAAGTTAATTTTGTTAAAAAAAATCACAAGAGGTATTAAAAAAAACATGCATCTCAATCCTCACTCTTGCGATTCATACCTGCCCACTTAAAATGCTACCATTAATATCTGACTTATTTTCATCCTTCTTTAGAATAATCTCCATCAAAACCGCCTATATTTCTAAAAATATGACACTATGATGCTATCTGGTTATTACCAAAGGCAACTTGCAAGAAGTACAAGCACAAAGAACAATCTTCAAATTTTAAAACCTCAAAACAGAAAACTTCATCTCTAGATTTCAAAACCATAAATTTTGCTTCGCCTTTTCCGAGTTTTACTGAAAGCGCTCATTAATGAACATCCATGGAAAAGATGAATTTATCACAGAGGGAAGTGAACTTTGACCCCAATGATAAAAATACACTCAATTTTACTAGACTTGTAGATCTTTCCCAGTGCCAGGAGAAACGACGTCATCGAGTGTTTCTGAGGACACTTAGAGATGTTCTTGACTGCTTGTCAGAAACCAGAAGCGTGGTCATGCACACACTCAGACCTTCTCTGCGAGTCAGGTGACTGGCTCACTCACAGCGACAGGTGTGGCTTTATGAAACACTGTCCCTGGAGGCCGCCGTGTCCACGATGTGCAGACACGGCTGAGAGAGCCTACAGTCATGCCAGTTTGCATGTGGTGACGGACAGCAGGGGCTGCAGCCGGGCTATTTTTGATCCTGTCATGCGACAAGGGTTTCCAGCGGGTAAAATGTCTTTATAAGGCCAAAGTAAAACATCTATCAGCTGCAAAGGCCAGCCAGTATGAATCTCACTGATACTGAAACATTAACCCCTGAACTCCCGAAGCTCCAAGGACAATAAGATGGCTGCTAGGCTTGTATCTTTGAATAAAGGTGGTAACTGAAAATAAGTTTAGCCCACAAAAAGGCAGGATAAAATTGTGTGTGTGTGTGTGTGTGTGTGTGTATTTGAAGAATGCTTTAAATGATAGCTAAGCAGGGCTGCCTGCAGGACTCTTGTCCCTGTATTATTTTTTACACTAATAGTTTTCATTTGATAATGCCAGCCAATCAGAGTATGAGGTTCCCTGGAATATCAGAAACCTACATGAAGTCTGGCAAGAGTTAGGATGACATCTGGAAGGCAAATGAAACCCTAGAGTATTTTAAGGCTGAGGGAAAGGAGGACCCAGGAGCCCATGGAGAGACGAAAATATCTCAGTCCAGGAAGGGAGGCAGTATTGGAATTAAGGGTGAAGTGGCACTGCGGAAGCAATTCCTGTATTAGGAGTTCCTTTAATAGTCTCCAGAGCCCATTACAGCAATTTGGGAATCTCCCTCCTACTAGACAGATACCAGCATCCTTCCCCTCACTGAATCACAGAATGTACATCCTAACAGTAATAAAAACACAAGAGCAAAACAGACACCTTGGGCAATTTTCAAAGAAAATTTGCTATGTTTTCCTTTTCTTCCTGCCTCTTCAAGGCCCTTCTGATCTCTCTGTGACTTTTGATATCCTTAAGGGTTTCCTCTTCCAACCTATCACAGAAATGCTGACAAGTCTTCATGTCATTCACTGGTACAAAGTAATCTAGGTCCCTAACCTTGTACCAGACTAAGTGCACCATTTCTTAAACTTTGGCCTCCCAGGCCTTTTACACTTCTGGCTCCAAAAGACTTTTTTTCCCAGTATTTCTTCCCACCTTTCCCTGAACCTAGGTCAGCCGGACCACTGTTGACTGGACACGCCACACGTTCCTAGAGCCTCACCTTGGCTGGTGACACCCCTCCACCAATCCTCACTCCGTCTCTACCTGGTGAAGTCCCAGCCCCATCCAGCCTAGCTCTACCGCTACGTGTAAAGCTTCGGGAATTTGCTTCACCTTGTAGTCTCACATATTTCTCATAACTGAAATGAACATAATATTTCTCACCCTGAATTGTTGTGTACTAAGTAGAATTATCTGTGTGAAGAGCCTACAGTAAGGAACATACTCACTGCTAAAGTTCCCTATCCTCCCTCATGACCTTTAAAATCTAGGTCAGCTTCTACCTCCTTCATGAAGACTTCCTGGATCCCACCCACCTGATGTCACTCTGCCTCATCTGAAGCCATATGGACAGCTTTCTCGATGCTTCTCAGTTTTCTTACGAGATTACAGGCGAGAGTGGAGTGGTGTCTCTTTGGCTACAGCTTGACACAGAGGAAAGAACGTGGCTTTTGAGGTCAGGCAAACCATGATTCCCAGCCTAGAACCAGACTCTATCACGTAGTAGCCCCTGTGGAAAGTTAATTAACCTCCCTGAATCTCAGTTTTTTCATCCGTGGAAAAGACACTAACAGTGCCTTCATCAAATAATTATTGATAATGAAATTATATAATTTATGTAAATCGTATATCAGTACTAGGCATGTTGCAGGTGTCGAATTCCTGTTAGTTATGGTCCCTCCTGCACTCCTTGGTGGACAGTATAATACCTAGAATGTGTTAACACAACCAGCATAAAACTTAGCACTTAAAGGAGTACTGAGTAAATGTTTAAGTGTATTTCAACCTGATCTGAACTAGCCTGGAATTTACCTACAGATCCAAAGTTTCTCCTCCCCAAGGTTTTGATAAGAAAATGCTTCTTTCAAATATAAAATATTTATAAGATACTGTTTAGCAAATCCACACATTTCTATACACCTGCCCACTGTGTTACATCAGAAATTCCTTCAGGCTAAAATTTTCTCTTTAAAGGTTCAAAGTAATCTGGGGGCCATTTAAGGACTATATATAAAAAAAAAGTTTAGTTCCTAGAATTTCAAACAAGTCAAATAAGATTAAAAATTCTCAAGCTTCTTTCCAGGCCTAAAATAGAACATTTGGCATTCAGATAGAATTTAGGATGACCAGGTGTGATTTGTTAGGTACAGACTCTGGGAGTTGGAGCTGTGTTAAGAACCCCTTAAAAAAGAAAGAGAAGGCTTGCTTAGTCTATCTGGAGTGCTGTCTATTTCTAATGAGAATCTCAAGTTCAGACAATTTATGCAAACAGTAATAATCATCATCCTTTATAAAGACAGCTCATATGGGAAGGGATGAAAAACCAATAGTTCCTACTAAAAACATGCTTGATTTGAAATTCCTACATGACACATTTTATTCTGGTTGTTATTACCCTTGTGCTACTTTCTTTCTCAAGAAGCTATCAGACTACCACAACCAGTCCACAGTTCTATGTCTAGCTCTCAGGACCCTCCATAAAAAGTCTGGTTTCTCCACGCACTGAGTCTTTTCTCCTCTGTGCTCATGCTCTCATCCTGTACCCTTCAGACATGTTCCTTCTTCCTAGTACCTGTTCAGGACATACCCAGTGGTCCAAGTCTAGCTCCAGTCATCACGAAGCCTTGTCCAACTCCTCCAACTCTCTGATATTCTTGCTATTCTGAATTCCTTTTGTACTTAATACCGAGTAATGTAGCAATGAACAGTTCCCGATTGGCTTGTGTTAGTCTTCCTTCCTAAACTCAAGTGCCATCTCCTTGTTTTGTACTCCTGACTAGCATGGAGAAAAATAAACATGCTAAGACCAGTTAATGGATTTAGTCGTCTAACAACCGTTTGGAGATTATGAACGTGAGATCATGCCTAAGTTCACCATCATTCCTTAAGATGTCTGTTCCCCTCCTCAATCCTACCTTAAATGTAGTCTAGACCAAGAAGAGGGGGATCCACAGAAGTATGTGGACCCACCAACCCACCATTGTCAGTAGCCAGAATGGTTTGAATGGGGCATTAATAAAAAGGATATATGAAGGCCCTTTGTCATCTATTGGATAGAAGACTCTTCTATGGTTAAAAAAAGTAAGAGTTGGTAGTAAGAGTGAAGCACCGATCTATTAAAGGGATGGTTATAAAGAAGGGATTCATGGAAAATATAACTTGACTCTTCCCAGTCAAATTATTATTACTTTTTTGGATCTAGTCTTGGAGACACATAAGGTAGACAGAGTCCAACCTTCCAGGTACACATGTAGATGTTTAGGCGCTGAGCTAGACAAGAAATGACTGCTGAGGATGAAACACTTCCAAACAGTTAGAATATTTAAAAAGAGAGTGTAAATCTCTGACATGAGAGTTACAGCCATGCTGATCAGGTAGAATACAGATGAAAAAGACCCTAGGTGTTCAGAATAAACTGAGGTGGTTGGGGCTCTCCCATCCATATCAGGTCTGAATGGAAGGGAACTGAGGGAGCTTGGACTAGGAGAGCTGGTAATCACAAAACCTCACAGAACACAAATCGACATCAGACCTGAGTCAGGTCTGAAAGGTGGAAGTTAGTGCTACTCTACTGAAAACGCTGGCTACTGTTAGTGAAATCTAATGAGAGTCGTTGATCCTTTAAATGAGAAGGTCTAAAAGTGGATACACGTTGCCAAAGAAAGAATCCCATTCCCAGAAAAACTCCCCAGGAAAACAGAAACTTAGGACATGCAAGCAATGAATCTGTATTCTTACAGAGGGAAATCACACCATTTAGCACTCACTACAAAAATATGGTTAAATGGAAGTCACAGGCTACAGCTTCAAAGCAAGGAAAATAAAAGGCCCTTTGCTTCCCATGGCAAAGTCAAAAGTCAACACCCGTCAACACCACCACCAAAACCCAAAACACAAAGAGCCCCTTCCCCGAGGAAAAGAAAACACTTTCACTACAGCTCTTTTCAATTAAGTAAAAAAGCACACAGTTTAGCTATCAACACCACTTCATTACTGTAATAAATAAAATAAAGCACACGGAGGTCTATTGACTATTGTGAAAAATAAAACAACACCACCAACATCCATGCATCGTTAATCACCATCTGAGCTTGTGTGTCTGAGTCTACTGGTTACAGAGTTTAACTCCAAACAGAACTATTCCACCTCTTATCATGGTATCCTTCTGATCAGTTAGCTTAACTGTATACGAGCCCTGTCAGGTTAGAAAGAGATAAATACAATTGAGTCAAGTTGAACAGCAGTCATGGTGTCGGGACACAATCGTCTTGTACACAAGTCATACCTGGTATTTTGTTTTGTTTTGTTAATCATAAGCTCAAAAATGTGTCTGTTTGGAGGCTGCATACTTGGTCAGATAACTTGACTCATCTAAAAACATTTATGTTACCGGCATTAAAAATACACAAACATATGTAAATATGTATAACCAGAAACATTCTGTGACATGATGGCCTTGACTGGATATAATAAAGAGGCAAGTTAACAAATGGTAGCCATATTGAATCAGAGGAGGGTCTGATTAATTGACTTACCCAAAAGGTCTTTGTATAAGGGCTGGATGAAGCTGTTGAACACCAAAGGCAAAACCTAACAATAAAACATATCATACTTTCTGTTTGTGCACGATTAGGCATTTATTACTGCTACATATAAAATACATCTTTTCACTTAGAAAAAGTAATTGTTCTTCTAATACTTTAGAGAAAATACAATAAATATGTTTTTAAAAGCCATTTTACTAATGTTATCGTTGATCTAAATGAAAATTTTAATAAATATTATAAATATACTTTTAAAAGTCATTTTACTAACATTATCATTAATCTAAACAAAAATTTTAACAGGCTACAAGTGGAAACTAAAAATGATCTGCAAAGTTTAGTTGACAGACACAGACTAAGACCTTAGAAAATTAGACCTGTGAGAAGTTCTTGTGGAAAGAAAGCAAGAATAATAGGGCTTGATAATGAAGTTACATGTCACAAATAGTCCTACAACTCTGAATCATTATTTTAAAAGTCTTTTTCTTAATTTGGAACATTCTGGAATGCTCTGGACAATGCTTTTGGAAGATTATGGATTTTATAGATTATAGTATTAAAGTTCACAAAAACAAACTCTTCTTTCTTTTCTGGATAGTGTACACACACACTGTATTAGACAAATATGTTTTTTAATGCTCATGGATATTTGCATATGTACTCCCTTTCGTGACAACCTACTTTCCCAGTAAATCTATTTGGATGGAAGTGTCCACCTCTTTCCAAAATCTCAGGTGGAATGACTTAAGAGTGAAGAGTATAAAACTTAAAGTTGCGTGCTGAAGCAAAAGATTTTATTTGTTCTATAGTCAACTCACAATTATATGTGCTAATGCAACAGGCAGTGTTGTAAATAATCCCAAAGGTCACGATTTCACATAGACAAAATTCTGCTCCTTTTTGGTGACTAATAGCTATGTGACTTTGGAGTAAACCATTTCTCATGTCTAAGCATCAGTTTCTTCATCTGTAACAGACGGATCCTAGAGTAGCTGAAATCTCTCCATTTCTTTCATCGCTAATATTCTGTAATTTTATATTACATTTACCACCCAGACACCACCCCTACCCTATGCTTCTCTCTTCGGTCAGTGTTCAAGCTGGATTGCCTGCTCGGAACACAGGGCAGCTGGTGGCAAAAGGAGAGAAAACACTAGGCAGATAAGTATAACCAGCTGGAGTTGACAAATTTGGTCCGTATCATCCACGTGTGGATGATCTACAAGTGGCTACAAAGCGGAAAATGGGGAGAGAGGACTATGGCTGTATACAGGAAACAGAGGAGTCAAGCTCAAGTCTGAGTGTGCACAAACTGTCCCTCACAACTGTTTTTTGCCCAAAGGTACATTTCAAGTCCTCAAAGGAGTGTGTACAGCTCTCATCTATCTTTATTGCCTTGGTAGAATAACCAGCCGTGGTTCGACTTCACTAAACACACCTACAGATTCTCAGGGAACCAGTGTCTTCTGAATCAGGGATTCATTCTATTCAGAAGTGGGGGTCTCTAGTGGAGGAAGGAGGGACTCAAGCAACATTTCTCACCTGGTTGCATGATCCTTGGTTTTGCTCCCAAGTATGCCAGATTCACGTTGGCCTTCCTGCCATCAATGATGGGGTTGGGATCCTTGCAGGCTCTTTCAGCAGCAGCCCGGTCAGCCATGGTGACCTTAGCAACACACACACATAGACATACACACAAAGCTCTAAATCAGCCCCTGAAGGAAACCGAGAATCACTGGAAGAAGTCATTCGTGTTAATGAAACTGAAGGGGTTCTTAAACTTTTTTTTCTTTCTTTCTTTCTCTCTCTTTTTTTTTCTTTTTTGGCAGGAACTTACTCCTTGACCCAAAGGAATAAGAAGAAAACAGAAACGAGGAAAGAAAGAAATACCACCCCCACCCCCCAAAGTCCTAAGGGTGCTGGTAGGGCCTAGCAGAGCTCTGGAAGCCTGAATTCCGTCTTAGAACTCCTCTAGGTCCCCCCTCCCCCGACCATTCCCCAGGTCCCTACCCGGCTTGAGAGGCACTGTTTGCTCTAAAGAAAGACCAGCTTCACATCCGCCCGGTGTTCCCAACCCCATAAACACTCCCCAACGACAATAGCTATTGTCCTACGCTGGGGCTACCCGCTCCTCGGCAGCTGAATTTGCACGCTTAAATCTCCAGGAAGCTTACTATGCTCTCTTTCAGTTCGGCAAAGAGCCAAAGGATCATCTTTGAAAAGAACCCATCTTTGCAATTAAAAAAAGGGGAGGAGGAGTGACATAAGAAGAAGAGCCCCAGACCTCCTGGGGTGTCCCCTCCCTGCCCCAGCCGGAGCGCCGGGAAGACACACGCATTTTTACAAAGCAACAGCGCGCTCAACCACCGGCCTCTACCCTGGGAGTGCAATTCCAAGGGGCTGCGGCCCCTCTTTTCTAGTCCCCCGCACCCCCAAATCCAGCAGTCTTTACAGTGCTCTCCCTCCACCCCTGCTCCGCCTTTCCCCCGGCACCGCAGCGCTCTCGGTCCGCTCGGAACCCCGCGAGGCAGGCGCCGGCGCGCGCAAACTTTCAGTTCAGCTGGGAGCAAAGGGGCAGCACCGCTCTCGCCCGCGGGGTTCTTCGCTCGGTCCTGCTGGGCCCCTCACTCCAAACTCCGACCCTCGGCCAAGCACCACTCTGTCTCTCCCCGCCCCTGCGGTCCTCGGTTTCCCCGCCGGACTCTTTGTCACCCGCCCCTCCCCCCGCATCCACGCAACTTACAAATCCATAGCCCCGGGACTTGCCCGTCTGCCGGTCGGTGATGACCACCGCCTCCTCGATCTCGCCGAAGACCTCGAAGTACTTGCGCAGGCTGGCGTCGGTGGTGTGGTAGGGCAGCCCCCCGACGAAGATCTTGGTGTACGTCGTATCCTTCTGGGTCGTGTGCATCTTCGCGCCCGCCCCGCGGCTCGGGCTCCGGCTGCGGCTGCGGCTGCGGCTCGGGCAGCGGCTGCGCCTCCTCCTCCGGCTTCGCGTCTCCCGCACCCTTTCGGGGCCGCCGCGGGCCAAGGGCGAGCTCGGGGGCGAGGGCGGCGGCGCG